TCTTTAATATATGTTGTATGTCCATCAAGATTAATTTTGAAATTTTTAAATTCTGGTTTACATTTCCTTTAAAGTAGAAACAGAAAAGTTCTTTATCATAAAAGCTAAACAACTTATTTATGGATTACCTGGCTAGAATCAACCATTATTATAAAGGCAAAATCTGTTGGGACTGCAGCATCCAATTTTCCAGTGTCCTAATGTTTCAGTGCCTAAAATAAGCACATTGTCAGACAAAAGGGACTGTTATTTTTCCCACTAACATCTCAAGAACATATAATTTGCTAGATAACATCTTTTTGATTTTTGTTACTGAAAGCTAAAGAATCTTTAATCACCAGGAAGCTATTTCTATTTGTGAAATAGGTTACTGTACATTGAGAATGCTAGTTACCAGCCCCTCTAAAAACAGCAATTAGAAAAAGTTGCTGACATTTTAGAATCACCATTCACCGAACAGCTATCATCATTTTATAGAAATTGTTCTAATAAATCCATGCAATGCATTTCTTCACATGTTAAATGTCATCAAATCTCTACCTAGAGTGTGAAATTCAGGTCTGCAGTGTTCCTTGAGTATAAAATCACTTACAGCCTATATTGAATTGGCTTTTCATTTAACCTTTAAAAAAATTAAGTTACTATATGCTTTGTGTTCTCTAGATTGCATTACATGCATTAGGATTTTTTTAACAATTTACAAAAGACATAAATAAGCATGAAAGAAGCATTAATTTTTTGAAATAGGAGAATAATAACCAATAGAGAGTACGAAAGAAGAGCACAGAGAGATAAGACATAATGAAAAAGCATGGGGTTTGAAGCCAAAACACTGTTACTCTGGGCTGCCAATTATGAAGCCAATGGCATTGTATAATATTGAGGCATCATTTGTATATGTAACAGAAATAAGAACGCTTACCTTGCCTGATACAGCCTTGTCAATAACTTCAAATTAAATAAAGAATATAAAGGGGCTATTTAAGTAGTAAAGTAGCTATACAAATAGTAAGAAGAAATGTGGCTGCTTCGCCTCTAGAACTTCACATGGCTTGCATAATATACTCACATGTTATTTTATTGGAACATGGGTATGTTCATTAGTTCTGAATGTTACTTCAGATCTCTTTAAATAATGTATTATTGATGAAAATAAGAAGGGTTCTATGACACCTTATTATTAGACCATTCATAAGGAAGGTTGAGTAATATTTTTAGATCTGCTCCAAGATGATTTTTACCCTCAAAGATAAGAAAATAGCATGATAGACTTGAAGATATCTCCTCTCTAGTGTGGTACAATATGCAAAGAAGACAATTTACCAAGTAATATGTAATATACGATTCCACCTGGAAAAATATATGTAAAGATGTGAAAAGCACAAGGAGAATACTTGGTATGTGTTTCCCTTTATTACAGCCATTAAAATATTTAACAATAATTTGTAGACAATGAGGTGATAATTTTTTAATCTTTTTTGTCAGATATTTCCTTAGTTTGCCAAGTCAATTATATTGAGTATATATTAATTTAATAATAAAAAATTCCCATTTGTATTTCTTCTCTATGTGGAATGGAGTCTAGCAATTAAGAGCATAGGCTTTGGAATAAGACAGATCTGGGTTTGAATCTGAGCACCATTACTTACTATGTGAACTGGGGACAGAACTTAACCTCTCTAAATTTCTAAACTTCTAATTTATAATTATCAAAGTGGTAATCATCTTTTTATAACTCTCATTAGTTGGTATCAATCACATGAAATTCTTCTATGATCTTTTACACCATTACACCTATTCTATTTCTGTGTCTCAATGATACTCTATTTACTAATAGAACTGTAATCATTCCAAAGTATACCATTTATTTATCCAGACAGTGTTACTTCCAATTTCCTCTCCATATCCTATCAAATGCTAATTCCCTGAAAATACCACCAAAAAAATCCCAAGTGATGAGATAAATCTGAGGGGCAGCTTTGTCTTGACAGTCTTAATTAAATCTCAGAGAACAGAGGAAACAGCAGGGTATTTATGAGGTCTAGGGGTTTGGTTTAAGTTCTGTCTTTTGATGAGGGGGTTAGGGGCTTCACTGGATTGGGAAAATTTGTGACATAAGGGTTTAGGTTTGGAGTGTCCTAGAGATAAGGATTTCAAGATGAATGTATTAATTTTCTATTGCTACTGTAACAAAGTACTGCAGAGTTAGTGGTTTAAAATCATACAAAGATATTCTCTTACAATTCTGGAGGTCAGAAGTCTAAACTAGGCAAAAGTTAAAGTGTCAGTAGAGCTGAAACCTTCTGGAGGCCCCAGGTAAGAAATGGTTTCCTTGCATTTTCTACTACTAGAAGCTGCCCACATTCCTTGGGCCAGGTCCCCTTGCTCCATCCTCAAAGCAAGCTTATAGCCTCTTGCTTTCAACATCATGTTGCCTTCTTCTGTAGGCAAATCTCTCTCTGCCCCACTTTTATAAGAACATTTAGGACTATATTTGTGGCCTACCCAAATAATCCAAGATAATCTGTCTCAAAACTCTTAATCACATATGCAAAGTCCTTTTTTCCATATAACATTCATAGGTTTCAGAGATTAGGAATTAGATATCTGGAGCCTTGAAAGTAAGTAGCCATTCCATGCTATCGATTTTACTCTAATTAAGGTAAATTTAGTTAGTCGTCTTCTATTACATATTAAGATGAAATTAATAGTACCTGTTACTAAGATAAAGTTATTTTCAATCACAGCTTCCTAAGAAATTGTTTCCTAAAAGAGTAAAGTCATATGACTGTCTTGTATCTTAATTATAACAGGCTGTGTACGTGAATTCAGTTCTCTGTCTCTTCCTTGAACTCCTTGACCTTGATATTTGTGTACTAAATTGTAAGGAATTTATGACAACTAGTTTAGTGATTGATTCATATTTGTCAACACTTCTGCATCAACTTGAAAAAATAATATAAGCCTATCATAATATCATTAGCTGTGGTAGTCATCAGATCATTGAACTTAATTTTCATTAATATGTACATATATTTTATCAAGCATAAACCAAATATGACATAAGCTGAAGTCATACTGTCCCTTAAGATTCCAATTAAATTCACAAAAGCCCTTATCCCAGTGATTCTGTCTCCCTGAAGTTTCTTGTCTGAGGCTAGCAAAACAGAATAAAGATGAACTCCGGTTCTCTTACTCACTTCAAGCTATGTTTCCATTTCTTGCAATGAGTTTAGGGAACATTCAGCCAGCCCATGTGTGCTTTTAGAGTTTTGTTTTTACCTGTAAGATTGTTTGCAAATAAAATTTTTTTCTTTCAAAGATTAAAAAAAAAAATCCCCAATAGTACAGGCTGTTCAATTTTAAATCAATTACAGCTATTATGGAAAGGGCACCAACCCTGAAGTTAAATTTGGACTCGAGTGCTGGCTTCATGACACACTATCTGCAGGGCTTTAAACAACTTCGGCCTCATAGTGTCCTCGGCTGTGAAATGAGATTAATATTCTCAGTCTCACAAGACTGCTGAGGTCATTATCAAGGAAATGCAGGTGACGATGCTGAGAGCACACATGCTTATGTGAACAATGAATTTTAAAAAACAGCTGGGTAAACTAGAGGTGTCTCTCATGTACATGTATTTTTATATTTTATAAACATTCTTAGAGCCCAGTTATATCTAAGGCATTACCCTACATGTTTTGAAAAGCAAGAAAAGAAATGTACCTGCCCTCCAGAAGTTAAAAATTTAGAGGAAAAGACAAATACAAAAAAAAAAAATGCAAGGCCATGTACAATAGAAATGCAAAATAAATAATAACATGATGAAATCTGAAGAGACTTCACATAATAGGTGCAATTTGAACTGAGTCTGGAGTTTGGATGGAATACAACTATGTATGTAGAACAATTAGAAAAAGAAAGATTTTTTTAATCTATACCCAAGAAGTATGCGGCCTGTTACTATTAAGCAGTCCACTGACAAGTATGAATAAAACCCAAAGACTGAGACTAGAGTTTAGAGCAACTTGGAGATTCTGCACAAAATCACTTATCCCAGTTTTCTTTCCCTGCACCTATCCCTCTGTGTACAAATTATATTTGCAGTATTCCTCCAAGTCAATGATATTGCACATGGTAAAAGGTCGGGGACCATCTACTTCAACAAAATGTGGAGGAGTGATGTTTACCACTGTTTTCTCTTTTATCATCAGAATAAAAGGAAAAAAATTAGAATTAGCCTCTTCAGATCCCCCCAAATAAAGTATCTGAAACTTTCTCTGCCTAAGCTACTGAATCAGATATGTCTGAGTTACATTAACTTTAAATAAAGACACTCTTTTTAAATTTCATATTTTTTATTATTATTATAGAGGAAAGTTGATTGCTTTGAAATTAATTCTAATAAATAAGAGAAAAATTCCATTATGGTATAATGATGATATTAGAAACTGGCACTATTCTTCCTACAAGATGACTACTAACCAGGGATCAGTAAGAAAAATATTTTTCCAGAAGTTGGAATAGGGTTAGCCAAACCCCCAGTTAGTTTTTTAACCCATGCTTTTTGTGACGTATCAGCTAAGTGAAGTCTGGTTTACTGGAGACACAGGGTAATGAAACACTATGCAATTTACTGGCAAATTTTAATTTTTTAATTTGATTTTTAGAAACTGTCCCCAGTTTCACTAATTCACAGTGAATGTCTCACCAAAAAAAAAAAAAAAGTTAGCCACCTATATTATTCTTCCTATCACTAGCCCTTGCTTTGTTTATTGGAAATGTCAAATCCATCATTTACTGATAAATATTCAAATAGCTCTAAGCAAGTCTGAAATAGTTGACCCTAAAATGATATTTGAACAATTGGTATAATAGTGTATCTTCCCCAAAATACTCTTTTAACAATGCACCAGACTGTTAAATATATAAATGTATGTTGTATTCTTCCAATTTTTAGCAGGAGTAAATCACATCACTGATCACAGTCTTCGTCTTACCAGTTAAGTGTTAAGCTTCTTGTGAGTAGGGACTAACTCACCCCGGTGCAGTTCTGCCATTGTGTAAGGGTTAGGGACTGCTTGCTGTAAAGCTATAAACAAAAAAAGAAAGAAAATGCATAGTTAGCCTTTTTAGCATTGGATACTAAATGGCTGAGCCTTCAAAAAGATTAAATAGAAATCTAAGTCCCTCTCTTTGGCTGAAATGATTATGTGGAATATCACGCAATGATCAGTCTCCTAGTGATCCAGCCACATTTCTATTTTGGGGAAGAAACTATTGTAACTCTGCAGGTTCTTCTTATCACCTTGATTTATGCTGTGCTCTCAGTTCCTGAAAAATCCTTTAGACCAGTCTGAGAGTGAAGTGATTGTAATGTGATTTCTTTATCAGAGTGGGGGAATTGAATGGTACTAGTGTGTTCTGTCTATCCTAATACAGCACACTAATGAGTGGGGAGCTCTTACCTGAATTATTCAGAATACAGCCAGTGAGTCACTGGCAAGAAGGTCTTAAGCCTTATAAAATATATTCTATACTATAGAGGATTTCTCCCTCAGAAATCCATATATGATGTGGAGGGAGATTTTTAGAGATTTGCTTGAAAGGAAAAAAAAATGTGTATATATAAATACATACATATATATATATGCATGTATGTATTCTTTTAAGTGAGAAGGAAACAGTTGTGAAAATACTATTGAAATGTGTAATGACACCTTTATGGTACATGTTACTATTTATTTGCAGAAAGAGATCATATCATGAAGTAACATTACTGTTTGTGATTTTCTGTATTTCTCTGTATTTTATGTCATTCTAAACTGAATATGTCATTCCAAACAGAATAATATTTGTGCAAATAATCAACAATGACAGAAACTCTGCTAGCTGGAAATATTTAGTATCTGTATGATTGTTTTTATATCTAATTAAGAGTAGCTTTATTTTTATCTAATGTTTTCTTAGAAAAATTATATATAGCAGTGATATAATAAGAGACATATAATAGTTATATAACATTATATATATAATTATATATATGATAAGATACATATTTTTTCCATAATGCATAAGAATCTATCTCTTAGGTCTTTTGCTCTCTTAGTTTCAAGCGTTTAGTTCTATTTAGATTTGTGATAAGGAAATCAGGTGAGAAATAACATGATACAGTGAAAAGGGAACCAGTACTGTCGGACCATAAACTCTCTCAGGAAGTGAGGCAGAATCTCCCAAAGAATGGTGAGATTTCCAAGCAACGCATTTTCACTTGCCGAAACATAAGAATCTGCCTCAAATAAAATCTCTTCAAGAAGCCTTTCCTTGAACTCTTCTCTGTTTTACACTTGAAGATTATGTCTTCCCTCCAAATTCTGTAGTATTTTGCTAGATATTTATGATACAACTTCCCATCTTCTGCCTTGAACCATTGTGTATATGTCTACAGTAGTAACATAACTAATGATGATATGTAGCACAACCTATTATATTTTTAGTTGCTTAATTTTCTTCAAAGATGGCTTAGTAAAAAGAAGATATGATAAGCTAATATATGTAACGCCAAGATCAATTAATATTTAAGATACCTTAAATTATGTAGCAAATATCTGCATAAAAATAGGAAATTATCTTACCTGTGAACCCAAAATAGCTTTCTAATTATGCAATGTAAGACTACATTTATTTATTTTATTTATTTTTCATAAGGTATCATTAATATACACTCTTATGAAGGTTTCACATGAAAAACAATGGGGTTACTACATTCACCCATATTATCGAGTTCCCCCCCATTCCCCATTGCAGTCACTGTCCATCAGTGTAGTAAGATGCCACAGAATCACTGCTTCTCTTCTCTGTGCTACACTGTCTTCCCCGTGATCCCCCCACACCATGTGTACTAATCATAATGCTCCTCAGTCCCCTTCTCCCTCCCTCTCCAGCCACCCTCCCCCACCCTTCCTCTTTGGTAACTGCTAGTTCCTTCCTGAAGTTTGTGCGTCTGCTGCTGTTTTGTTCCTTCAGTTTTGCTTCATTGTTATACTCCACAAATGAGGGGAATCATTTGGTATTTGTTAAGACCTATATTTAAATTCTATAAAACTACAACCTGTGTGAGCTGCAATTATACCAATATACAGATATTTTTCAAGCTAATGGTCTCACTCTTGATGATAATATCAAAGTCAATTCCAAAATTTGATTAAAAATAATATATTATCAGTGCACTAAATAGTTGGAAGTTAAAAATTGAGAACATTTGCTGTGCTACTCAGTTAAATTTCAGTTTTAATCTTTTAGGATATTCAAGATCATATTCTCATGCTATAGATTACATACTAAAAGCATTTTCTTTATTTTGCATATAATCTGTTTCCCCTTGAACATGCTCTTTTCATGCAGGTGCATTCTCTGTGAGTTGTGTAATTTTCCATCCTCCACTTTCATCTCCTGCTAAGAAGACACCCTCTCTAAAATCTATGTCAACTGAAGTCTCTTTGGATCAGTAACATCTTGGCATTGTTTCCAAGCCCCCTAAAATATAAGGGTAATCAGAGGAGGGCAAGGGTGTTCCTGACTGACATCAGATGATTAGGAAATAATTATCTTTTATTGGATTGTCTAGTAAGTGATTTAAATGAAAATTTGCATATAAATTTTAAGTCCAATCATAACATTATATAGTAAAACTAAATTCCAGTTGTGTGAATTTTAAAAACTGAGGGTCAGTTCCTAAAACTGATGTCATTATATCACATTTAGACAAATTTCCACTTAATTTTGTGAAGAAATGCATGTAATCAAAATTCTTACATTCTATTGAAGACATTGAAAAGGCTATATCAGCAAAAACTTCAAATCATATGTAGCATCATCAATAAAAATAATACTATACAATCTATGGCTTTGAGGAGCTTGAGTTTGGAGAAGCAGGCAGGCATATAAGCTACAGTGGTGTGGGGGGGTATACACATTAAATTACCTCAAATACCCTGATTATGGGATGTGAAGCCAAATTCTCCCTCGGACTTCAAATTCTTAACATCTATGCTGTCACAATGTTTTCTTCATGAGCCTCTATACTACATATTGTTTCTTTTTTCACCTAGACTCAACCTAAGTAACTCATCCTTTTCCCTACTTTCTGCAAAATAAAATAAATCCACGTAAAATACCTTTAACAAATATTAATGAAAAGTTGTTAATAGCAGGGAGAAATCACAGAGAGTAATTCTACCTCACTATCCATTCTTGGTACTTGTCATATCTCTTCCCAAATGGTTTCCTAGAAATCCAAATATTCTTCCTTCATTTGTGAGAACAGTTGCATCTCCAAATTTGCACAACGACTCACAGTAAGGTTCATTCTCCACAAAACAAAGAGAGCCCACTTAGTAGGACTCATTATTCTTAGAAACCTGGTAGAACTAGAAACAAGCATTTTCTGCTGACATGCTCTCACGCTCTACAGGATGTGCTACAGTCTGGTCCATGATTGATTGGCGGCACCAGGCAGAGAGCAGACAATGCTACTAGAGATATCAGGAGGGCTCCCTGTAAAAGATGGCACTGGAGCTAAGTCTGAAAGTTAAATTTTGAATAGACGTTCACCAGAATCACAAGAGGGAGGAAACTCCAAACACATGGAACAGAAAGAAAAAATGCCACAGAAGTCCCTTTTGCCTGAAGTATATGGCTGTGTGTGTCACAGTGTAGGAAGAGAGATTAAGGAGAGGGAAAATAGGATATGAACCCACACAGACAGTAAAGGACCAAATCATGAAGAATATTGGGATTGAATCCCACAAGTCACCAATATCCCAGTCCCAGGAATAAGCTGCAGAAGGCACCAAAAATACTACGATTAATACTAATGGGCCAAAGGATGAGCGTCTTTTTATATTCTGTGTAATTCATGTTTTGCCGTATAATATGATTTTCCCACTTAATTTTATTACAATACATTCTGCTGAGCAGGCAAGAAAGGTTTGTCATTAAGGCTAGAAGACAGTGATGTGTTCATAAACCTAGATGTCGCCAGAGATGTTCCTTTCATGTGAAAATCATCCACCCTGTGGGCCAGAACAGAAAATAAAGATTGAGAAGCATTGCTTTGACACTGAGGGTTTTAGGAATGGAAAAGCAAGTGATGTGTTTGATCTTCTAGAAGGCTTGTTCCAGAGTGAAAACAAACTGGACCTACTTAGCACGTTATTGAGGATAACCCAAGGGGAAAATTGTAAAGGTTTCTATGAAGGCAGCTGTAACAGAAACTAAAAGGACCATAGGACAGCTGCTGAGGTAGGACCACCGGCATAAGGCTGAAAGGCCTATCAGTTGTGGAAGCACAAAGAGGAGGACTTTGTCAGCCCATTCTGTAGTGTCACCTGTGCTTAAAGCCATGAAGCCACTTCAGAACAGGTCCTGTCAGCTGTGAGGCAGAGGACATTAGGGAGGCTGAAGACCTTTCGGGGAGTTTGGGGCATTTGGGTCTGAGCCAATGGAAATCCGAGGCCCAATGCCCCAGCAGAGAGTCATTTCTGGCTCAAGAGAAGGGCCCTATGGAAAGAGAATCCCAGGATTTCTGCAGAATTTCCTCTCCAGGTTCTAAAAGTCCTAAGTTAACTATAGATCTAATAATATCAGCTACACTAAAACTAAAGTATTTCAATGATGCTGACTTATTCATGGAAACCTATACTGAAGCAAGCATCCAGTCCATTTACCAACTCAAGTGGCCAGCATTTCAAAGGCTAAAAGTCTCAAGGCTCAGGTTGTCAACATGAGGGTGACTCAAAAGCCACATGAGAAAAGGATTAAAATGTGGATAGTCTGAGAGCATTGAATTTGGAGGAATATAGTTTTATGGACCCAGGCCCCTGGATTTGCTATGAATAAATAAAACTAATGCATTTATCAATGTACCTATTGCTATGAGACAATGAAAATAATTTTATCAACTTCATAAGCACAATATATATGATTTTTTGTCTGGCTGTACTCGGTTCCAGATAATAACTCTGAAATATTTCTGTTAAAGAAATTCATTATTTACTCAGGGAGTAATTCTAGAAACAACTTTTACATAGT